CCCCAAAACCCCAAAACCCCATCAATTTATCTTTCATAATTTTAGTATTAGATTTTTACAAATGTTTTATTTAAATTTCTCAAAGTTAAAAATGTTTAAAAATGGCATTCAATATATTTTCCAAGAGCTTATTTAATCGCAAACTCATTCAGAAATACTTTCTATAATATCTTCTTAATCGTGTTCTTTTATAATATCAGATCCAATTGGGTTACTATTCTAAGAAAATCTCTCTGCTTATTCAGACTTCTCATATTATACTTTACTCAAATTAGATTTAGCTTTTAATTGAATAGTTCTATGAGTATTTTTTGTGTCTAAAGTATAATCAAATTCAGCAACTTCATCCTTATTTGTTTATTTGCTCTCTTTTCTTTGTTAATTTTTGTGATTATTCTTAGAAAAATCATGAGGCTTGGTTCTCTTATCAATTGATGATTATTGAACGAAGATCAATTAAGTATTTGTCTTTTTCAAGGTTTCATGTCTATTTTTAGTTTTTTATTTCGGAATTTATTGATTAGGATCATAATCTTTTGTTTAATTTTCTTATTCTTATTACTAACTTTTAATTTTTTTCTGATGTTTTGAGTTGGTTTAAGTGGGATCCTTCCAAATGTCTTTTCTTTTTTTATTTGACTTGGATTTCTGCTCCTTATCCTTCTATTTAACTTGTAATTTTAGATTTTCTTAAATTTTTTCAAGCATGCTTGGTAACTCCAACATTTATAGAATCTTCTAATCTAATTCTGATTTTTTGCTATTTTTAACTACTGCTTTTAATGATTAATGAAGTATATCAGGATCTTCTAGAGTCTTTGATTTTTTATAAAAGTTAGGTTTTGATTTTTTATCAATTTAAGTTAAAACATTCTAGCCAAAAAATGGAATCAATTCTTTTTAAAAATCAGAGAGCAAGAGTTCAGAAAGAGATGTAGCTAATCTGATTTTCTTGAAATATCTAATGATGTCAAATTCTTTGGTTAGTTTACTCATTCCAACTTTGTATAGTAGATCTTTAATGTTTCTATTCTTCTATTTCATTACTTTTGCCCAACAATTTCTCAACTTAGATTTTAAGTAGTCTGAAAATGTATACTCAAAGTATTTGAATCTTTTAAATTTATCCTTCAATAGTTACAGCTGAGTTTTTTCCGATATTTGTTCTAATGGTTCAAGGTTTTTATTTATGTCTCTAGTTTGACTTAAAAGATCTCGCTAAGTGGTATCATTAAACTTATCATTTTTCTGACTCCGATCAGGATCTAATTTATCAAAGTCGCCACCTTGTTTTTTAACTATTTCATTAATAGCATCGTCACCTAACTAATCCATACTAAGGTAGAGTCTTTTCATTATTGATGCATGATAGAGAACTGTTTGAATTTTTCCTGTAAGTGCTTTGAATACTATCATAATAATTGAGGCGAATCCTCCAGTTGCAGTTAAAGCATCAATGAAGTTGTACGATATCCTTGTTGTGTCTACAACATTTTCATCCATCAAGAAATTGAAAGAAACCCATAAATCTCTATTACTTTTAAGTTAGAAGTTAGAACCCTATCTCCTTACAGTACCGTAAGTATAGTTTTATACGCCTATGTTAGATGCCAACCAACTATCTCTTAGGGTCACATAATTTTAGGAGACACCGAAGTATTCATATCTGGTATCAGTTTATGGGGTATACTAGAATGCAGTTAATGTATATTTAATCGGATTTTTTTCAAACTCAGCCACATCCAAGAATTACTCAAGATAGCCCATTAGATAATAAACATCTTTACTAATAGAATCTGCCTCTTCTCTTGATTTGCATGTTAGATTTGGGAAAATTTTACTTAAGTATTTTTAATCGCAGTATGTGAGATCTATTTTTATTCTTTTTGAGACTATCGAGCCCATTCTTCCTTGCAGCGAAGTATTTTAAATCTAAGGACACCACCATTTAGAATTATCTTATTCCTCTGATTGTCCACCAAATCTGTCTATTGTGCATCTTGCCATATCAATATCTTCTCTAATATAGTATAGAGGATATTCTCCATCAGTATAATTCGTTTTCACCAGAGTTTAAAACACGAACATCTTTATCGAGAAGTATTAAAATAAGTTAGTAACATTGGGATCTAATCCTTGATAACTAAGTTATACTCCATAATCAAACTAACTCACATTGAATGAGTAGAAGGTCTTATCTTTGTAAAGGTTCCTCACATACTTAATCTCATTTAATGTATATCTTGATTTACTTATGACATCAGCGAACATAACGAAGAAATAGACCAACAAACCAACAATGGACAAAATAGTCATGATTCCACCAAAAGAAGAAGTAAAAGTTTGATTATCCTTGTATGTAAGTGAAATTGGATAACCAAACCTATCTACTTTCCTCAATCGATCCTTAAAGCCCTCAATAAGACTTTAAAAATATGTGTTACTCTGGGGTTTACGGTAAGAATTTATTAAACTCATAGACAATTAAATTCAAGTTAATATTTCAAATTTCAATGATCCTCTACAGTAAAATTAATTTTGGAATATAAAAACTACTACTATGAAAATTATTAGAAATTTACTAAGCACGAATTATCCTTTTCATTTCATTAAAATATTGATGGGGTTTTGGGGTTTTGGGGTTTTGGGG